AGGGGGTCTCAATGTCACACTCACCATCCGGCTACTCATGCACGGAAAGGTTTGTGTCCCATCCGTCTCCAACCCTCACCTGGCACGGGGTGGGCTGGACGGTGGGGGGGATCTCCTGGAGCTGCTGCAGAGCCGGGAATGTGCTCCTGGCGCCCAGCCGGCTCCTGGGGCGCAGCAGCAGCGCCGTAAAAGCACAACCAGGGAGGAAAATAATAATTGGGGGCAGGGGGAACGACCTGGAGGGAGCTCAGGTGGGAGCAGAGTGTCAGTGCACATCCCTGGGTGTCTGGAGGGGACAGAGCCCAAGTGCTCAGGAACTCGTTTGGGCTGTAAAAGGAGCAAGTTTAGGCTTTGGGACTCCTGGAGTTTTTAAAACGCTGACTAATGGTGCTTTTGTTTCCATCCCAGGAGGTGGGAAGCATCATTGGGAAGGTAAGTGAGGAACCACCGCTCTCATCCCGCCTTCCCCTTCTCTCCTCATCCCCTCCCCTCCCCCACAGCCACGCTAACTGCCTTTTTCCTTTCTCTCCTTCCTCACAGAAAGGGGAGTCCGTGAAGAAGATGCGTGAGGAGGTGAGTCCCGGGGCCGGGGCGGGGCTGCGGGGGGATCCGGGGGCCGCGGCGGCGGCGCGGGGCCTTCCGAGGGCTCCGCAGGCAGCGCGGAGGCAGCGGCCGGAGCGGCGGCGCGGGGAATGCCGGGAGGTGTGGGCAGGCGCGGCAGGAAGCCGAGGAGGAGAAGATGGCTGCCCGAGCCGAGGGAGGGAGGAGGGAGGGAGGCAGGGAGGAGGGCTCGTCCCCAGCGGGGGATCCTGGGGAACTCCGGCTGCCCCGCGGTTGCCCTGGGGGTGTCGAGGGGGGCCCGGAGCGCTGAGGTGGCGTTTGCCTCCTGCAGAGCGGAGCTCGCATCAACATCTCCGAAGGGAACTGCCCCGAGCGGATCATCACCCTCGCGGGACCCACCAACGCCATCTTCAAAGCTTTTGCGATGATCATTGACAAACTGGAAGAGGTGTGTCTGCAGCACAAGCCCCCTCCTCACCGCAGTCACTGCCCCCGTTTGCCCCTTTCCCGGGGTAAATTGCCCCCTGTGTGCCAGGGGGTCTGCACTCAGGAGGGCTTTGTCCCTGCTGGGTTTGTCCTGCTGGGGCTGAGCAGCAGGATGGGCCATTTCCACATGGATGGCCAGTGTTTCCCTGTGGGGCCCCTGATCTTTGCCCGTCTGGGAGCTGGGTCAAGGTCCAGGCAGTGCCGGAGCCAGAGCCCTGCAGGGACTTCCCTGGGCACTGGTTAAACAGTTTTGGGCAGAGCTGGGTCTGGAATCCCCCTGGCTCTGCTCGTCCTGGTGCCACTTCCCCTAGTACATGCCCCAGTGGGGACCAAAGCTTGTCTCCATCCCTGACCCTGCCAAGGAGGGGGCTGGGGGTGTAGCTGTGCAGCACTGGAGGAGGAGCTGCACCGTGCCCCTGGTCCCATTGAATCTGCAACTTGTAGGGGGGATGTTGATCCTCAATAACCTGGATCCTGTCTGTGGGCATTAGAGCCTGCTCAGGGCTGCGATGTTGAGGAGGTTTCCATCCTGCTCTGCACTGGAGGCACTGGGAGATGCGAGTGCTCCTTGCCTGGTGTGGGGCAGAGCTCTGTAGCCCTCACCTCGCCCGTATGGGTACAAATCCTGTTGCCCTTTGGATTTGGGACACTTCCCTGGGAGGAACAGCCCTGTGCTGGCAGCTCTGTCCCCAAACCCCCCTGCTCTCGCCTAAAAGGCTGCAGAGCCCAGAGCTGTTTGTGCCACACGCCAAGAGCTGGAGTCCTCCGAGGGCTCCACGGCCGAGTGTGGCCCTGGGCAGCGGCCTTGGAACTGAAGCTTTGCTTTTAGTAGGTCAGTTGAGCCCTGGCCTTGTGCCTCCCCTCCCCCTGCCAGCACATGACCGCTGTAATCGGCGCCGGGATTGTTTTCCCGGAGCTCCTGCCTTGATCCCTGGTGCAGCGGGAGGCTCCGTGCTGACCTGGGAGCTGTGGAGTCTGAGCCCCCAACCCTTGTCCCCTCCCCCAGCAGTGACACAGCCAGTTCCCACTCGGCTGAGGTGTGACCCATCCAGGGGCTGGGGGTGGTTAAACCCCCGTTTCCACTGAGACAACAGAGTGTGGCTGCTGCTTCCCCAAAACACGGCCGTTAAGGAATCCCTGGGAAATGGGACTGGGAGAGCCCCGAGGTCACCTTGGCCATGGCTCCTGGTGCCAGCATCATCTCCCTGTCCCTGTGCTGGGCACGTCCCCGCTGCCTGCCGGTGCCGTTCCAGCGGGGATGCTGTGCCAGGCCGGGCCAACCCCTCTGAGCCCCTCCTCTTCCTCACAGGACATCAGCAGCTCCATGACCAACAGCACAGCTGCCAGCCGGCCCCCGGTCACCCTCCGACTTGTGGTCCCTGCCAGCCAGTGCGGGTCCCTCATTGGGAAGGGAGGCTGCAAGATCAAGGAGATCCGAGAGGTGCGTGGTGGCCACCCCGGGGGGGAGGTCTGTGGGGCTCTGGGTACCCCCCCATGGTACCATGTGACAGGGACGTGGCATTACTGGGATGTTTCGGAGCTCCCTGTATTTTTAGTGCTCAGGAAACTGAGACTCGAGGCAGACCTTTCCCTGCCCAGTGCTGTCCCCCACAGCTGGATGCCTGGGTTCTTGCTCCCCCCTCCTTCCCGTGGCTCCCGAGTGCCCCCTCCCCAGCCTTCTCCCAGTTTTTGGAGGAGGAGATGTGCTGCCAGGCCCATGCTGCCCTCGCCCATGCCATTTAGCACTGGGTGCTGCTGGATTAACTCTGCCCGGCTCTGCTGGCGCAGAGATGGGCTTGGCTTGGGTTACAGGGACAGGCTGAGTCCAGGTCCCCCTCTGCTGCCTCGGGCTCCCAGTGCCTGACTTGTATCCAGCTGGGATTAAAGGACTTTATTTTGGGGGGGAAAAGGAGGAGGGGGGAGCAGTTTTGGCTATGTATAACCATCCACGGGGTTCATTGCTGAGGTCACAGCCCTCCCTGGGGTCTGACCGGTTATTTTTAACCCTCGACTTGGCAGAGCACGGGGGCACAGGTCCAGGTGGCAGGGGACATGCTGCCCAACTCGACTGAGCGAGCCATCACCATTGCTGGGATCCCACAGTCCATCATCGAGTGCGTCAAACAGATCTGCGTCGTCATGCTTGAGGTAGGGCCCCTCCTCAGGCCTGTGCGGGGGATCCCGCTGCCCTTGGCAGCCATGTCTCCTCCCGGGGTGGAAATGCTGAGGGTGGAGAAGATGACTGCTGGGGGATAAAGGGATAGCTGAGGATTACAGCCTCATCCAGGTGAGGCTTGGAGCCGCTTAAAACCGGGGTCGAGCGGGGCCTCGAGAGCTGCTCACGGTGACCGGTCGTGCTGCCCAGCACGGTGACACTGAGCTGTCCCACTGCTCTGCTCCCTGGCCCTGTGCCTGGGATGGGGAAGAAATATCATTGCTGTGGGTCCCCCAGACGGCCAGTTGGGAAGCTGAAACAGAGCCCTGGGGTGCGGGGAGGGGGCTGTTGGTGCCAGCGGCCCTCGGTGTCTGACCTGCCCTCTCTGCCTGTCACCCAGTCTCCCCCGAAGGGTGTCACCATCCCGTACCGACCCAAGCCATCCAGCTCTCCCGTCATCTTTGCAGGCGGCCAGGTAAGGCCTCTCCTCTGCTCCTGGGGTGCGGGGTGGGGAGGGGGGCAGGGGGTGTCGTACCGAGCTGCCAGCGCGCCCCGGCCGCTCCGCGTGCCCGTCACCCACGCCGTGCCTCCGGCCCAGAGCGGCTCTGCTGGGCCTCAGCCTCCCAGAGCCAGCTCCACCATCCCTGCCGAGGGATGAGAGTGGGGAAAAGGGACGATTTGGGAGGAGGGGATGCTGGAAAACACTCCTGGAGTTAACCAGCGGAAAAAAAACATTGCCGGTGTGGTGGCAGCAGTGGGGATTTGAATGGGGCCGAGGCTCCAGCTGCCAAACCCAGGCTCTGCCCCTCTGCCTCGGGCTGGCTCCAGGGACATTGGTGTGACCTGCTGTGGGTGACCGGCCCGGAGGTTGGGGCTTCTCTGCTCTCCGTGACTGGCTCTTGGGGTGCAAAGGCTCAGCCTGTGCCGTGGGTAGGGTTGGGGTGTGCAAAGGCTTCGTCTGGCATGAGGGGAGGGTGTGTCAGATAGGAGTAGTGTCAGGTGACTGGGGTTTAGTCCCTCCCGCGCTGAGCTGAGCTGAGCTGAGCTGGGGAGTCGCTCCCTGCCGTGAGCCAGGTTACAGGGGACAGGGCTCCCTTGGGATCCTGTCTGCTGTAAAGCCCCGAATCCCCCTGCCCTCTTTGGGGTGGGGGTGCTGGCTGGGAGGCCGGGCCCAGGAGCGGGTCACCCGCTCCCACCCTGCGGTTCCCAGGGCTGCCGTAAAGCTCGGAGAAACCACGGCGACTCGTGCAAACGCATCCGCTGCCTTCCTGCTGCCAGGGAGACCCCTCGGGGTGGGCTCCGGCCCGGGACCCGCGCAGGCAGGGCCTGGCCTTGTCGGTGGAGGCCTCCGTAGGCAGGGAAGGGGGTCAGGGACAAGGGGTAGCTGCTGCCGGCCTCCCTGAGAGCCAGGCCTGACTCTGCTCTCCCCCCCCACGCCAGGCCATGCTTGTTTTGGGGACGGACCTGCCGCCGTCCCCTTCCTCCCCACCCCTGCCCTCCCTGCCTCTTCCTCCCCCCCTTGAACCCGGTCAGCCCCCCCCCGCCTCTCCGACAGCTTCTCCCGCCGCTCTGCCCCCCCGGGGGAAGCGCCCTCCCCCTTGCCAGCGGAGGGCCGTACGCGCGGACCCCCGGGGCAGGAGCCGGCCGCCTTCCCCGTTAGAGCAGTGAGGAGCAGGCTTCCCAAGGCTTCCCACGGCCACGCATCTCTTCCCTCCCCTTCCCCTTTTTCTCCCCCTTCCTTCTTTCCGCCCCCATCCCTGGCCCAGGGCCGCGGCCAAGCCCCGCAGCAGCCGCCCGGGCCCCCCCGCTCCTGGCGGCCGTTGGGCTCTGTCTTCGCAGCTCAGAGTCGTGCGTAGAGCAGGGCGAGCCCTCGATCAGCACTGAGCTAATGTGGATGTGAGTTTGGTGTTAGCGAAAGGTTTCGGATTGACAGCCCTGGAGACTGAAGTCCTCTAATTTATCCACAGGACAGGTACAGCAGCGGCAGTGCGAGCTACCCCCACACCGCCCCATCCATGTGCCTCAACTCTGACTTGGAGGGACCACCTCAGGAGGTGAGAGGGGAGTTCAGTCTCCACGGCCCGTTCAATCCTTGGCCTCTCTGAGACTGCCAACAAGGGTGGCATCCCCGTCCCCGTCCCCCAAAACCGACAACGGTGGCTTTTTGTGCTGTGGACTCCTGTCCACTGGGAACTGGACTCTGAGCCCACCAACCTCTCCTCACGCAGGCCACCCGGCAGCCACTGCATGGCAACGAACTTGGGCCAATTCCAGCCTGGGCTGCAGTTCTTCCGGTGACCTGGAAGTGAGGCTGTGTACCCCCCTCTCCCCTTCCTCTCCCACCCCCCCCCACCTGCCCGGCCCCCCCAGACCTCCCCAAACCTTAGCCAGCCAGGCCCCAGCCAGTGACTCGCCCTTTCTGGGTAGCTTCAGGAGGCATCTGAAGTCTGTGGCTGTCCCTTAACCTCGAGTTAACTCGGAGTTGTGGCAGGTCAGGCCCTCGCCTCGTTCCCCTCCGAGCGCTGGGCCGTGTCGAGCAGCGGTAGCCAGCGCCAGCACTGACCTGTAGCTTGCCCGGCGACGTTGTCCTAGGCGTGCGGAGTGACGAGAGGACTCGGAACGGGGCAACTTTTTTTTTGGGGTGGGGGGAGGCGGGGGAGCTGCTGGGCCGGGGCAGAGAGGGGCCGGGAGCAGCAGCAGGGCCGGCGGGGCGTTGGATCCTCCCTGCCTGTGCGGGGGCGCAGGGATAGCAGCATTGTCGGACTCACCACACCATAACATCTTCATCAAGATCCCAGCCGTTCTCTTGTTGGTTTTTATTTTTGGTTTTTTTTTTTTTGATTTGTTTTTTTTTTGGTTTTTTCTTTTGTCTGCCCCCTTTTTTTTTTTTTTTTTTTAAATTTTTTTTTGTTGTTTTTTTGGGGGGGGACGGCACCGATTCTCCCCACCCCCCTCCCCGCACCCGCCACGTCAGGCCAATTCGAGTAACCGCCAGCCTAGAACCTGCTTGTGACAGCATTTATCCGTCCCCTGCCTCTCCTGCCCCACT